CTGATGGATTTAAGATGCCAGCAGCATTAAGTTCCAAACCCAAAGAATTTTGTGCAATAAAATTGCAAAGATCATTATACGGATTAAAGCAATCTGGACGTATGTGGTATAATCGTCTTAGTGAGCATCTAACGAAAGAAGGATATGTGAATAATCCAATATGCCCATGTGTTTTCATTAAGTAATAATCGTGGTATAGATTGATGATCTAAACATTATTGAAACTCAAAAGGAAACATAAAAGGCATCAAATTATTTGAAAGGGAAATTTGAGATGAAAGATCTCGAACAGATAAAGTATTGTCTAGGCCTACAAATTGAACATTCTAATAATGGTATTTTCGTGCATCAGTCCACATATATCAAAATAGTGTTAAAACGCTTTAACATGGATAAGACAACTCCTCTAAGTACCCATATGGTCGTTAGATCACTTAAGGTTGAAAATGATCCATTCAGACCACATGAGAAAAAATGAAGAGATACTTGGTCATGAAGTACCGTATCTAAGTGCAATTGGAGCTCTTATGTACCTTGCGAATTGTACGCGACCTGACATATCATTTGCTGTGAATCTTCTAGCAAGATTCAGTTCATCTCCTACACGATGACATTGGGATGAAATTAAACATATCTTCTGCTACCTTCAAGGGAGTACTGATTTAGGTTTGTTTTATCCGAAAGGTTCAGATGGACAAATGGTTGGTTTTGCAGACGCATGATACCTATCAGATCCATACAAAGCCAGATCTCAGACAGGATATATTTTCACAATCGGAGGCACAGCTATATCTTGGCGCTCTCGGTAACAGATGCTTGTGGCCACTTCTTCGAACCATGCTAGGATCATCGCACTTCATGAAGCAAGCAGAGAATGTGTATGGTTAAGATCAATAAGCAACAACATCCGATCAAGCAGTAGAATTCACGTAAATATGGAGCCAACTATCATATATGAAGACAACACCGCATGTGTTACTCAAACGAAGGAAGGATACATCAAAAGTGATAGGACTAAATATATCCCTCCAAAGTTCTTTTCATACACTCAAGAGCTCGAGAAGAATAAGGAAATTGAGGTAAGATATGTCTGATCATGTGAATATGCAGCCGATCTCTTCACAATATCATTGCCCACTGCTGTGTTCAGAAAGCAAGTATATAATATCAGAATGCATCAGCAACAAGACCTATAAGACGACACCCTGCTCATTCGAGGGGGAGCTTACATGGTTGTACTCTTTTTACCTGGCTATAGTTTTTCCCACTGGGTTTTCCTAGAAATGTTTTTAACGAGGCAACAAAAATGTTAAGAAAGACTATAGTGACACTGGTCTCCAAGAGGGAGTATTATGAATGTAAAAAATGGACAGAAGTAAAAGGTCATTGATTGAGGCTACATGTACAAAATGTGATAAATAAATTGTAGAGCTCACCGCCACTATGCATACACAGTAAATTTCTCTTTTTCACTTCTATATAAACGAACATTTTTTCGTTGTACTACACAACAATTTTCAACAAAATATAAAGAGTAATAAAACTCTTTCTCTCCCTTTTTTTCAATATCCCATTTTCTACGGAAATAAATCTTCTTCTTTATCTATATTTATCTATACAATAAATTATATAACCTATTATAACACAAATATTATTTTGGGACCTATAAATTATTCCATCCTCTCCGGTTTGTCACCAAGTCGAATGACTAGAATCAAATAAAAATCAAAGCAAGAAAAAGTGTCCCAGTATTATAATTTAGGGATCTATGTGTCTCCTCAATATAACTAGAAGAACGAGGCTCATAGTTGTTAGAGAATGGATTTGCGATTCAAAAGCATCAGGAGTCTCCCCATTCTCACAAATTTTCAATAAAATAAAATAACAACCACTTATGTTATAACAACAGAACAAATCATTTTTTATTTAAGAAATTATAATTATTTTCATAAATCATGATTATTTGTAGAATACCATTAAATATGTTTTAAGAAATATTGTTTTTATTATATTATGTTTTCTATTGTTATGAATAAAATTACGTGTATTTAATTCTGGTGATTTTTTTCTTTACTGGCAATTTTTTTGGTTATCAATCGATGATTATTCTCATATCATACAGTCATTAGTATGGTTACTCTATTAGAAGAAACAATTTTCATCAAATTCACTTATTTTTATCTATCTTTCTCAGTATATGGTAGTATTTGGTTAGCAACCGATGATTATTCTCTTATCAATCAGGACTATTTATTTTATTCAAACAGGTACGGAAAAAGAAAGAGTATAAGATCATAAACATTAATTACCTATATATATATATATATATATATATTTCTTAATTTTCCCAAAATTTTCTGAATTTTCTGGAATTTAAATATATGTCTTAAAGTTGATCTTTATTCAAATTAATGTGAGTTTGAGAAGAGATATTGGGTAAGAGAATTTCCCTAATCCGTTTCGTTCTTATCGGATTCCCATATTTCTAATTTCCATCCCGAGTCCTAAAATTTTTAAAGACGCATATATCCGCTTAAGTTATTTGTTTTTCGAAAGTTATGTATACTGATTTTGTCATTTTGATTAAATATCAATGAAATTTTAGACAGAAAACATAATATAATAAAAACAATTTTTTTTTAAAAAAAGGATTTGATGGTATTCTACAAATAATTATGATTTATGATTATTAGAAAACATAATATAATAAAAAAAATTAAAAAGTATTTGATGCTATTCTACAGATAATTATGATTCATAAAAATAATCATAATTATATAAATAAAAAATAATCATTTAATTCTCCAAGTTTTTCTAATTGTATAGATTAATTCCCCAACTTTTAATTTAGTAAATTAATTCATTTAGTTTAGGTTGACCTTCTAAAATTAGATCGAGAGAAGTCAACGCTAATGTTTACATTTTCTTCATTAAAGTTGATTTTTCTCATGCCTAAATTTGTGAAGTCAATACTAAATTGAGGATTTAATCAGCACACATGATAGTGTGGGAATAAATTTGCCAATTACAAATACTTCAAAAATTAAATGAGCAATTTTCCAGAAATCATAACCAAAAAGAAACTTAAGAATCTTGTCCACGTCAGATTATCTATTTAAAACCTTGTATGAGATCAGTTTTAGCACAGTGGAGACACTTGAAAAAATCAAAAGAGATTTGATAAGATTATCTATTTAAAATTAAAAATAAAACTGGTTTGAACTGCCACTTGAAAAAATCAAAAGAGATTATCTATTTAAAATCAAAAATAAAACTGCCACTTGAAAAAAATCAGTTTTAGCACAGTGGAGACACTTGATGAGATTTCAACACGAAAACAAAAGAGAAACTGGTTTTGAAATCATACAATATCATATATATATATATATATATATATATATATATATTTATGTTGACGCGATTACGTAACATTGTTGTTGTTGGCTTGTTCTCATTGCCAAGGATTTAAGGGCATGACATAACTAGATACAAATAAAAAAGAGCAACTTAACCCACATAAAGCCTCCGTGACCAATAAAACAAGACCAAATAGAAAGCCTCAACTGAATGTTGTATAATTTACACAGTATGTTTTAGCATTTAACTTTTAAAAGAAATAGTAAGCCCAATACGTGTCTAAATGACCTATATATATATATATGTATAAAAAGATATGGTTAGCAATTGAAAACATCTAAGAAAACATTTTGCTAAAAAAAAAAAAAAAACCTAAGAAAACATTAGTGAAGGTAAAGTAAATTCTTCATATTCCAATTTTATTATTTTTCTAATTGTCTGTTTTAGTATGGATAATTTTTTCCGTAACATATTGCTTTTCTATGACGTCTAATTTATCTAATGAACTCCTAATAAGCATAAAATTAAAATCTCAAACTCTAACCTCCAATACATAAACTAGACGCCTAGATGCAAAAATAAAATATTACGAGAAAGATTACGTATTCTAAACAGTTAAATAGATGATAAAATCACAAAAAATCGTCATATAAATATTTTTGTTTGCATTGCTATTTTCTTGATTACTATGCAAATTTCTGACACTGATTGCAAATACTCTGTCTTCTTATGTTAAAAATGTGTAGTCTTTTTTTCCAATCGAAAGAAAGTGTTGGGCTTTAGGAGTTGTGGTTTGAGAAAGAATAGTTTTGAGTTATATAAATATATAATATTCCTGGTTGTTTCGGTTCTATTGAAAGAAACAACTATATGAATTATTCTTGGACACTCATACGTTCATCTAGACATTTTAGGTAGATAAGATTTGTGAGACCAGCATATTTAGATAAAATTAAATAAAAACGTATTGTATATCATGGCAAACCTGAAACACGGATAATATAAAATGTAGAGTTTCCAAACTTCCTAACCTAGTCCTGTCATACAATAATTAAACATAAGTAAAATTTATTCACATCGACTAACTTGATTCTCAATCACAGTAATTTCTCCAATATCTTCGTTTTTCTTAAAAACAATATCGCAGTTCCTAAAAGCAATATCACAATTTGTAGACTAAAAGTTTTAGCTAATTGGGCTACACATTTTACGCATTTGAGTTTCCATACCCATGTGCTACCACAGAAAACTATTGTGTACCCGTTCGTGATGTATGTTAATCGTTTTGTTGTGTTTATAGTAGTAAAAAAATGTTGTTCGGGAGATAAGAAATGTACATAATAAAGATCTGAGTAAACTGATCATAGTGATTATTTAATGGTTGATGGCAGTCCATATTGGTCTACATCAGCAATAGAATTCAATTATCACACCATAATGTGAAGAGAATCGTAGTTCACGTTCCAATGCCAGTGGTACCCACTTTCGTTTAAAATATTCATAACAAACATGTTACCACACACATGACTTCACAATCTCTTATATAAAGATTACCTTCTCAAACGCTTCTTGGCAAACAAAATAACAAACCAAAACATTTGTATTATTTTGAAATACTAACCCCATACATATTCTCTTTAGTAATGGCTTCGACTATCTTCTTGATTCTAACTATTCTTTTAAGTTCCAGAACTTTGGAAGGTACATCTCGTGGTGACACCTTTGAAGTTTCTGCCACGGAGAAACATGAGCAATGGATGGCTAGATTCCAACGTGTTTACTCCGATGAATCTGAAAAAAGAAATAGTTTTGATGTCTTCAAGAAGAATTTGGAGTTCGTCGAGCGCTTCAACATGAATAAGAACAAACCATATAAGTTGGATGTTAACGATTTTTCTGACCTCACCGATGACGAATTTCGGGCGACACACACGGGACTAGTTGTTCCCAAGGGTATAATAGGAAGTTCAACATCGGAGTCTGACAAAATGATGCCGTTTAGATATGGGAATGTTAGTGATGCCGGAGAGAGCATGGATTGGAGACAGCAAGGGGCCGTTACGCCTGTTAGGTATCAAGGAGCATGCGGTAACTAATTAACGATTTATACATTATTACTCTAAAATGTTTTTGTCAATCATATGCATCCTATCGGACTGGTTATGATTTAATGACATGCCATATGTTTCATTATAAAAGATGTCTAAGCAAACAAATATTTTTTTAATAATGTAAGAGAAGTTTTCATTATACAACGCAAAAAATTACTTTTTATATAATAATTTATATTTTCAGTTTGAAAATTTTAGATTGAATTATTGTTAAGTAGATATGATGTTTTTGTTTAGAAAGAAAAATAGTTAAACGATCTTCATACCATTTGCAAAAATCTTAAATATTTTTTTAAAAATAAAACTGAGGGAGTACTACAACTACATGTTCGGATCGGTCATTAAATATTTTGTTGTAAAAAATGGATTTTTAACATGAAACTATAAGAACAATTTTGTTTAATTTTTAACAAGTCATGAAATTTTCGAAAATGGAACAGGAGGATGCTGGGCGTTTTCTGCAGTAGCTGCGGTGGAAGGCATTACAAAGATTACTAAAGGTAAGCTTGTGACATTATCAGAGCAACAACTCTTAGACTGTGCCACAGACTATAATCAAGGATGTCGCGGAGGAATAATGTCAAAAGCTTTCGAGTACATAATCAAGAACCAAGGCATAACCACCGAGGATAACTATCCATACCAAGAATCACAACAAACTTGTCATTCAACTACACAATCATTAGCTCTCCCGGCTGCTACAATCAGTGGATATGAGACTGTTCCGATGAACAACGAGGAAGCTTTGCTTAGGGCGGTGTCTCAACAGCCCGTCTCAGTGGGGATAGAAGGGATTGGAGACGCATTTAGGCACTATTCGGGCGGGATATTTGATGGAGAGTGTGGGACGGATTTGCACCATGCAGTTACCATTGTTGGTTATGGAGTGAGTGAAGAAGGGACTAAGTATTGGGTGGTGAAGAATTCATGGGGGCAAACTTGGGGAGAAGGTGGTTACATGAGGATCAAGAGAGATGTGGGTGCACCAGAAGGAATGTGTGGTTTAGCCATTCTTGGTTTCTATCCACTTGCTTGAGAATATGTAGATCGATAAGTGTTGCTTGAAGTATTTAAAAAAAAATACTCAGATTATTAATCTTATGAAACATTATGGTCCCTACGTTTTCTTGGAAATGGATTGACCTTTTTGAACTTATGTGAGTGGAAGAATCAAAGCACTAATTGACCTTGTTTTAGTCTCCTGCTCCGAATAAATTATGGAACTTATAAACCTTGTTTTAGTTCTTGTATATCCAAAAAATATACCTCCTAAAATTGAAATTGCCTGAAACTACGAAAAAAGGGTACGAATCAAAGAAAACAGAATATTTTATTTTTGTTAGTATATCCCAAGATGAAAGCTATAACGTTGGTGTTTTTTCTTCTTTAAAAACTGTGAGAATTCCTACAATACCTCAAATCAGTCTTAAGATATTCAAAATTAAAGAATACATATCTGTTTCAAAGAAGATTTGAACTCGGGACATAAAAAAACCCAACTCCTTTAAATTTATACTACCAATAAATCACCACACTTTTGGTTAGCGTTGGTGTATATAACATACTGATACTTTTTTGTGGTAGTTACATGTTAACCAATGAGCTACGTGAGAAGAAAACATAACAAAATCGGGTTCTAGGATGTCATCTTGATTTTCATGTGTATCAGCGAAAAATCCGTTATCTCAAGCTGAAGAAAAAGGTGATACGTAATGAAGATTTGATTGATGACGTAAATTTAATTGAAGTTGGGAGAGCGAAGGATGCGAGATTTGTGGTAGTTGTTCAACAAGGTGACGTAAGTTGTAACACCAACAAAAGATCTCCACATCATGATCCCTCCAACAGAAGAGGTCCACTATAGCCACAAAATCAATACAATGTAACAAATTTTGGTAGGAGTAGTTTGGGATAACAAACCATAAGGTCCAATAAGAATTATGGAGCAAGTGGATATAACCCATATCTCTTGTTGAGAAGATTAAGGAAGCCTCAGAGTTTTATATATGTATACAGAAAGAACTGATTCACCAACATATAAGTTACTTATATATCATACAAATTAAGTGATATGATTAGTTACATACAAATTTTTTTTTTATTACTATCATATTTTGCTTATATTTTTTATACTCAGTGTGTCCTTGTTACATATTATAAGAAAAAACGTAATTACAAAGAATGCCATTATTTTTTAATTTCACATCAGAGAAAATATGCCACCACGTCAGAAATTGCTGACGTGTATTAATAAACTCAGCCGTAAAGCGCTACAGCGGCAATGACGGCTGAGTTACGGTATGTTACGGCTGATTTAAGAAAAACGGCTGAGTTATGAGCTAACAGCTGACTTACGTGTATAACCCAGCCTGGTGTTTCGGCTGACTTAACGAGATCTGTCGGAGTTATGAGAAAACGGCTGACTTACGAGTATAATCTAGCCATACGTTACGGCTGAGTTATATCCTGATGCTATCATAGCAATCAATATGCCCATTACGCAGGTCCACGCCCAACGCCACCCAGTGATTGCCTCCGGTTTGTGGAATAATATGCAAGTGATCCACATCTTGTATCCACTTCATATTTGTCGGTTGATCCTCTGGAAGCAAACCGTTAACTACCTTCTCATACGGGGTGTCTTTGAATTTAAACCTCTTCGGTTTTATCTTGAACTGTTCATACTCGTTAACCCAAAGAGATACGAACCACATGTTTATAAACGCAATGTGTTTGCTGTGGAATGGACAGGGATCTCGCTTGAACCTGTTCCTGAGGACTCTGAGGAACCCACACATATGCTGTAAAAAAAAAAAAAAAAACAACTCAGCCGTAATGTAGAATATGTCATACCATAACTCAGCTGTAATGTAGAATAGGTCATACCATAACTCAGCCGTAATGTATAATACCATAACTCAGCCGTAATAACTCAGACATAATAGTGTATCATAACTCAGCCGTAAACAACAATAACTTAGACATAAAGTAATACTTACAACATCGAACAGCCATCCATAACTTTGATCTGGCCAATGCTTTCTTTCGGTGATGATAACCCTATAGAAATCAACTTTGTCTGTTGCCCTGCCCAATGGGATATTCCTAACAGATAAACACAAGTTGATATACACAAATAGTGTTAACAAGCTGTAATTAACAAGTTAATAAGGTCTAAAGGGTCATACTCGAATGGCTTTATGTAATCCTTAAGTTTCTGCAATTTGGTCGGATCAACCGGTGCCAGAGGATCATATATTCCAGGTGAAGGTACACAATTCTTCCTCATGCACGTCAATCCGTTGTCTCCAATATAAGGAAAAACCGTTGATGGATGATCTTGTTGTGGATTCAATGCACTCCCATCCGGGGACAGCCTAACACTCTCCATCCTCAAAGCTTTAATTCTATCTTTCCTAATCTTTTCCTCCTCATCATCATCAGACTCAGGTAAAATGCGTCCTTTATCAGTGACAAACTGGTCTGTGACATCCCTTACGTCACTGTCACCTTCCTTCTGATCGTAATTGTCAGCTTTTTTCAGGACTTCATCAGCTTCTTTCATCCCAGCAGGTAATTTTATTTTCAGCCTCATCATCGATGAAGGCTTTCTACCTCTTCTCTTTGGCTTATTATCTTCGGCCGACATCTGTTTGCTCTCATCTTCAACTTTTGTCTTCTGTACCTCTGCTTCTTTGGTCACCGTTTTAGGCTTTCTACCTCTTCTCTTTGGCTTATTATCTTCGGCCGGGATCTGTACCTCTGCTTCTTTGAACACTTGGTTTTTTGAATTTATGGGGCGTAATCTATTAGCAGGAGACTGCTCAACGAAATCAAGAGGATCATCTTTTCCATCAATGGCCTTAACAAATTCCTTATATAGATTCTTATTGACCCCATCAAAACCACTGTCCTTCTCTACATCGACAGAATTCTTCGCCTGTATAACATAGCGAATAAAATAAGATAACGATAACTCAGCCACAACGTAAAGACCACTCAGCCATAAATTAAACATAATTCAGCCGCAACTTATATGACAACTCAGTTGTAAAGTATACAAATTCAGCCGCAATGTATTGATATTTTAGCCATATGTATGCCACTTTTAGCTTACCATAGGACTAGTAACAGAGTCCTTTTGTGGCGGTTTCCGTGGAATTTGAGGTGTTTCTTGTTGTAGCTTCTTCTTCTTCTGGACCAGATCGATAATTCTGAAATCTGAGTCGCCATCACCAACGTTTTGGCCAGCTTGCCCTACCCCCATGGCATTCAAGTGCTCTTTCATCTGTTTGAATTCAATTTCAATAGATCCAAGCCTGTTTTCAACGCTAGTAATTCTTGGGACAAACCTTGCATCCATCCTCACTTCTATTATATCTCCTATCACCTTCTCCAGATTAAAAGAAATTTCTCTAATGGTTCTATCAACGGTTTCAAACCTTGAGTTTAATTTAGACACCATATCCACGACTGTTTTAACCGACACATCTTCCCCAACATCGTCCTCCTCACTAACACCCTGCAACACATACACAAAAATGCATAAACAAGCTAACCAAACGTTACATAAAATATAAACTCACTGTATACCATATCACTTACCTTTGCTTCTTTTTTCTTCTTCTTCTTCTTCTTCTTCTACTTCTGTACATCTGCTTCACCAGATTCACCACCCTCACTGTTGATCACTTCCATGGTTTTCGAGACCTCATGGACTTTCTGCTTCTTTGCGGGAGATTCAGACTCAACCGCTGCTTTAACATTTACTTTTTTCTTCTTCTCATTCCTCTTCACATCCCAAAAACCTTTGACAAACTTATCCTCATGTATGTCTTGGATCAAGTGATCAAGTGCTGGGTCTTCTGCTTGATCTGGCCACATATGAAATAGCTCTCTTACATCATCCTTCATAACCATGCACCTATAACATAAGTGATTATGAAACCCATTAGTAAATTTTAACTCAATCATCAATAAGTATAACTCAGACATCACTATAGCATAACTCAACCACTAGTAAACCATAACTCAGCCATCACTAAAATATAACCCCCATCACAAACCATAACTCAGCCATCAATAAACCATACATCAGCCATCACTAAAATATAACTCAGCCATCCAAAAATATAACTCACTCATCACTAAAATATATCTCAGTCATCCCAAAAATATAACTCAGCCTTCACAAAAATATAACTCACCTATCACAAAAATATAACTCAGCAACCGTATGTAAACTAACTCAGCCATTATTAAAAACATAACTCATCCATTAAATATCATAACACAGCCAAAACCTTACCTCACCATACGTTCTGATATCTTCAGCAATGGTCGATTCCATTGTTGAACGTGTACGGTTTCCACCCCATCGAAACAACGGTATCTCATCATTATTGACCATTTTTCCAAATTGCTCTCCAAAGCATTTAATTGAATCATACGCCCAAGCCTGTAACACATAAACCATACTACTAATGGTGTACGACTTTCCTATAGGCCTCAACATCTTTATAGCATCAACAAGAGTTTCAAATGCTGACCGACCCCATGGGTAAGTCTTCATGGCTTCATCATCAAAAACTCTTTTCGCACTTTCGAATGGTATTCTAGAATTATGATGCAATCGATAAATACCAATGGCTTGAAGAAGCAACAGCCCCAACCATTTACGCTTTTGAGGAGGCCATTCCCGGCACACTGATAATCCTGCCCTAAGTTCATCTAACTTTGGTCCTTCCCCACCAGGCACATTCAATTCTCTGAAGAACGTTCTGTACTCAGCTTCAGGTTCAAACATCTCTATAGGCATCAGATCTGTGTTTAACCCCGTGATATGACCAAATTCATTCAAGCTAAACCTGATAGGTTGACCACCGACGAGACACCAAATCTCCTTCTTATATATTCTCAACTGTCTACATAGAAGATAGTGTACAGTCTTACCAGACCACGTGAATCGGCTGTCAGATAGCTTAACAACTATTCCAATAGGTAACTCCTTCAATTGATCCCACACATCTTGACCTATTGATTCTCTAATCCCAGGGAGATCTGCCATCTTAAAATTATGGTTAATGGATTTATTCTCCAGATTAGACTCCCCTTCTGCGTAAAGTCTTGGAGGGTAATCCCTTCCTTGTTCTTCCGAAATAACCTTAGCCATCTGATAAGAAAGTTAAAATCAGCCAGAGTATAAATAATTACTCAACCACACAAACTCAGCCACAAATGCATTGGTAAACCTTAAATCAGCCGTAACGGAAACCGTAACTCAGTCTCAATGTAAAACAAACTGAGCCACAAATGCATTGGTAAACCTTAAATCAGCCATAACGCAAACCGTAACTCAATCTAACTGATATAAGACTCGGTGTGAGAGGCTTATATGATGAGGAAGTGATGGGATGATGGAGTTAATACGCTGGCTATGTCACTCTCTCGTACGGACTAGTGGATGAAGGGTGGTAGAACAAGGCTTGTTAAACAAGTCTTGAGCCGATATGGGATCTATCAAGTTGGCTTTAACGCTCTCCCTTGAGGGATCAATGAATGGTGAAAGCAATGGATCGATGGCACCACAAAGAGTATGGAAGGCTCTCTGATACAGCAAACACTTAGAACTTGGTGAATCCACACGCAAGAACAAGTAAGAACAAAGGCTAGCGGCGGCTAAGCTTTTGTGAAGAAAGTTCGGTCTTTTTATTGATAATGTAGGGTAACCAAAAATACATCGCTGCATGGGAGCTTTATAAACAGCTCGTCAGCTAGCCCTAAGGCCGAAAATAAAAGCAAAACGACATAACAAGAAAATACAAAAGAGCAAAACGCACAAAGGCAAAAATACATGAAAAAAGAAAGTTCACTTAAGCTAAAAGAAATAAAATTAAGCCGACTTTCTTGATGCCTTAAGGGCTCGAACTGATGTTGCCTTAGCGTGTTGGAAGGCTTAAGAACCACTGAGGCAAGCCTCATTACCTGCACAAATCGTATAAACTGAAAATACCTGGTTTTGACGCGCATGTACCTTGGTTGGCAAGTAGTGGTTTAGGTCCGGTCTTGGGCTGTATTGTCCGAGTTCCTTGAAGCTCTCATCTTCCTGATATCCTCTGAAGTCAAGTTGGGGTGGTTCCTCGAGAGTTCCTCCTGGTTCCTGGCTTGAAGTGTCTTCTAGCTCCATTGATGTCTTCTCGGCTCTTAGACTTGATCTGGTTGTATCTTGACGCTCCGGTACGGCATTGGTGAGATTCTTGTTGTTTTGAGCTTCATTTCCTGTCAAGTAAATGGTCATACCTTGGTTTGTGGCCGGCGGATCCTCCTTGAGGCTCATTTTGGCAAAACCCTTCGATATGTTTTCTTCGGGTGCAATGGGGTACGGTTGAGGGCTTAGTAACGTTCCCACGTCCATATTGATCAGTAGTGCCTCCACGGCCTCATTAAACCCTTCTCGCATCCTTCTGGTCTTGGAACGTGTCATTGGTGAACCGTTCACTGGTGGTATGACAACCTGTTCCCACTCTTCTTGTTCCGGTACAAACGATTGGTCGATGCTCTCATCACTAACTCAGTCTCAATGTAAAACAAACTCAGCCACAGATGCATTGATAAACCATAACTCAGAAGTAAGGTAAATAGTCACTCAGCCGCGACATAAAACAAACTCAGCCACAGATGCATTGATAACCCAGACACAAAATCGAACAGATCTAACAAATCAGCCACCATATGTAAATCAACGACGGCGAAAATCAGCCGCAATAAGCATCGATAAAAACTCTTAATATCGCCGCGATAGTTTTCGGAAAACAGTTTAAATCACGGGAATCACATGCAATTAAACGGTTAAACTAAAAAAAAGATTCGAACTTACCGGAGCAAGTTTGTTCGTGAAAAAAGAAAGACAAAAACAGAGATTTTTAGCAATGGAAACTCATAGTCCACTCTCGAAAACGAAGAGTCCCCACTTGAGTTCGTGAAAAAGAAGACGTAATGCGACGGAGAAGCAGCCGGAAGAGACGATACGATGGTGGAATTAGGGTTCGACTTCTAAATCGTTGAGAGAGAGAGGTTTTTTTTCTGTAACAAAAGAGAATGATTCAGTTTTCCTTGCTTTTGATCGTTAATGACATGATGTTAATGACGTAGATTTTTTTTTCTTAATTACATAGATTAAACTAATTTTCGTTCATAATTTTTAATTAAAAAAATATAAATTAAATAATGGTATTTATTATAATTATAGATAGACACCAAATATTTGAGTAATTTTTAGAAAATGTATAATATATTAGTAATATTCCGATTTTTCTGTAACATCAATAATTATTTCTAATTCCTATATTTATATCATTTTCAGCATACTGTATGCATGTTATACTATTTATCTAACAGCTTTAGATTCTAAATAATAATGAAAAATATGATAGTTCTGCTCAAAAACATATAGAGTATTATTCTTAAATTATGTTCATTATAATCTTTTCTCCGTAATGTAAATTTTTGGAGTTGACAAAAAAAAATGATTTGGATTCGCCACTGGTATCAAATTTCACATAATTCGACTAAAAGTATTTAAGTATCATCTTTGATTTCCATTTTTACCAAACAATCTACCTCACGTAAGTTACGTAACAAAACAATCATTATACTTAATTAAAAACTAAAAATTAGGAGGACTAAACAGATGAACAACACAAAAGAATATTGAATCTGAGCACCACCACTTGGAATTCGACCACCTGGAGTAATAGGCGTATATGGTCTAGTGCCACCACCGCCTCCACTTCCCCGACCACTACTTTCGCTACCGCCTCCACTATCACCATCATCTCCGCCACCATCACCGCCATCGCCTCCACCTCTTCCACCCTTATTACCTCCAGAGCCACCGCTACTTCCTCCACGGCCTCCACCTCCACCACTGCTACCACCTCCGCGACTTCCCCCACCACCACTGCTTCCACCTCCACCGCTACTGCCACCTCCTCGACTTCCCCCACCACCGCTACTTCCACCTGAAGAACCGCCTCGAGAACCTCCACCTCCACCTCCACCTCCACCTCCACCACCGCCGCTGCTACCTCCTCCGCCTGCTAGCTGTCGTCGCTTACAAACCAACGTTTCCACAGTTACGTGATGGCTTTTTTGATCGACGGATGAGAAAGTTGCTTGGTTAAGTGAACCAACGGCTTCCATTTGCGTATGAATTAGGATTGATAGAAATAGATGAAGGACAATGCTACATCTTTTGAATTCCATTTTGTATTTTATGAATCTTAATTACAGTTTCAATACCAAGACACATGCAACTCTATTTATAGGTTATACGATTATTCCTTCTTTCTTTCTTTTTATATTTTTTTTCCTGAATGAGGAAGCTTCATTGCGTAGTTTCTTTGATTGAACTTATATGATCAGGATAAAGATTTGACTTTTTTCTCTTGCGTCTAGTTTCATTTGCTTTTTTTTTTGTTTTTTGTTTTTTGAACTTGTCTAGTTTCATTTGTTCTAACCTCAAATGCTCTAACATAATATTCCATCCAGTTAAGTAAAATCATTGACTATGATACGCGGTTTAAGAAAACCAAAAACAAAAATATACATATGAACTTTATATCACAATTCTGCATGATCCAAGTTCGACCATAACTAAAATTTGAAAACTAAATACAAAGACAGTAGAAATCTTTCAAAAAATTGAATATCGAAATCGAACATCAAAATATTTTATTTAAAAGTCTAACTAAAATCTAAATTTCAGTTTTAATAAACAAATAAACTAAAAATTGATGCAACTTTTTTATTGAAAAAAAAAAGATTGATGCAACTTACCTGAGTATCTCTATATAATTCCAATGGTTGACAATTTTATATAGATCTAGTCTTCGGGTCAAACGGGCAAAGGTGTCAGGTACCCGGGTCAAGTATTCTTTGGGACTAGATTTTATTTGGCTATTCAGTTTGGACAGTTTAGTTTATTTTTTTTACCAAGGATAATCAAAATAAGTTTCGAGTCGTTTTGGTTTAGATATTTTACGTATTAATTTTTTTACCAAAATGAACCAAAATTTTGTTTTTAGTTTGATTAAATTTAGTTAAGTTAAGATAGTTTGGTTCTTCAGTTCAGAACTCTTAATATAATTTTAGTTAAATTAGTTTGGTGTACTTTGGTATGGTTTGGTTATTTGGTTTAGGAACTGATTGATTCGATCAAATTTAATCGAACAAAATCGATAACCGAATTAATTTAAAAATGTTGTCGATCAGTTTTAAGTTTTAACTGGTAACCAATAAAAAAAATAATGAATGAAAAGAAAAAAAATAAAAGAATAAAAATAAAAAGAATGAATAAAATGAAATATATAGAAGAAAATAAATAAATATATTATGTTTTTTTTTCTAAATTTAATAAAGAATATATTTATTCTATAATTTTTTATATAATAAGGAATAAAAAAGAATGATAAAAAATCTTATTATTAGTAAATGGTGGTTTTTCCAAGAAATGAAGATAAATTCATTATTCCTTCTCATTTCTTTGGTCACCAGTTAAAGTCTTAACTTATATAATTGAATCAAAACCAAAAATCTTGGCTCTGTTAAAAATCGTGGGTCTATTTAAGATTAATGGATCAGTCGGAGGGAAAAATGTAAAAAAAAAATATCAGGTTATGTCTATTTTTTTTGTTAACAACCTCATTTTCCTAAAACGACTCAGTTAGTCAAGCTGGTGTAACTGAGTTTACATAATTTAGATGGTAAAGATATCTTCAAGCACTCTATGCTAACGTATCCGCCTTTGTGTTCTGCGTGCATGAATGTGAGCTATTGAGAAAGAAACAAATTCTCTTATGCTGGTCTCGTATTCCTCCAAATGTTTTAAGAATGCTGGCCATTCCATCGGGTTATACACTATCTTCACCAAGCCGGAGCAGTTTCTGAGAAAGATCATCTCCAATCTCCAGTATTCGTGCATCTAGCATGTTGTGCATTTCCCATATCATAACTTCTAATTCTGAATGTACAGCCGACGTACTTCGACCGGTTACATTGTTTCATTGACAGAACCATCACAATCCTGAATTAGGACTAGATTGTTTCCATGACCCAATTGTTTGACATGTTAAAACACCCTTGGTATATATGTATGTTCTTCCTCCCAAACATTTGCTTCCCATGTTGCCAATCGTACCACCTCCAGTGGATACCGATCGATATTCGAGAAGATTTTATCATTCCACATTTTCCAGATGTACAATAGCAGCTAGGGGTACACTTTCATGTCTTCGTGGTTTGGCAGATGCCAGAACAGCATTGCCATATTGGAGAATAGCGCGTCCACTAGGAAACCATTCGTAGGTGTGGGAATCACTCATAATGCCCATACTTGTAGAGCTAGTGGGCATTAAAAAATGTATGATTGATTATCTCTCGTACTGCCCCATAATGGTGGCATTGAGAACCACAATGATTGCATATGTTCCTAAGATGGTCTGTTACCGCCAGACAGCCCGAAATAGCTTGCCAAAAAGACAAGTTTCATCTTCAGTGGATATTTGACTGACCATGCTTGTACATGTAACTTAGTCACATCTGGTCCGTAGGGGGTGGTGTTGTGCTCATATGAATCATGTTTTATTCTGTAAGGTACTTATATTTTACTGTGTAGTGCCTGTTTTTTTTTGTAAAACTCCAACCCATAAGATCGTGTCTCCAATGCCTAGTAGTATGCAGCCCAATAATGAGGAAAATATCCTCTGAAACGATTAGTTATTCAAGTAGTAGTATATTCCACGTTGAAGTTGACGGATCAATCAGCCGATTGACCGTCAGCTCATGGTAGATGATTTATCATAGTTTTTATGGGTTTTTGACCTTGATATAAGTCCTATTTATAGAGTCTTTTTGGTATTTTTTGAGTTTTTTCGAGTCTTTGCAGGTCTAGGTACGTTTGGAGCATAATTGTGGATTTTGGAGCATTTTGGAGCTATCTTGAAGTTGTAGCTGAAAAGACCAACTCGGAGCAGCAATTGAAGCAAGGTGTCGATCGACACCAGCCACTCAGTGTCGATCGGCACCGATCGTGGACGTGAAGTGGAGTTCTAAAAGCTCTTTGAAGAATTGCAATTTGGCCCATAAGTTTTCTATTATCTGCAAACTTGCCCTAGTCATATTTAGAGATGTATTTAGGTTTTGAGAGTCATTGTTAGGCGATTATCTTGTTTTTCATTGAGATTAAGAGAGAGATTACATTCAGAGCTTTTTGGGAGACAAATCCGTACTCTGTTAGAGAAGAATTTCAAACCTCCTTTATCTTTTACTCCATCTTTTTAATGCAAAATTATTTAGTCATGATTTGTGTTTCAATTTCTATGTCTGAGTAATCTGCTAGTTAGGTTTTGAGTTGTTCAAAGGTTGATATTGAATTGTTAGAACTGCATAACTGTTAGGATAAATCTTTTGGTTCTTCATCTAGGTTGCTTTAAACACTGATTTTGAGATTGATCACCTAGAAATCAGATCATAGGTTGTTTAATAGATGTGGAAACATTGTTAATCACCAGAACTATCTTAGATGAGCAAAATAACTAATTGCAAAGGAATTTGGATTAGTGATTATGTGAACATATCGAACTTGAGCCAGTAATGCTTGTGTAGGTTGTTAGAATTTGCAAAGGAGTCTGGAATTCTAGAATCTGATCATTGATAATCTCTACGATGGAAGTCGATTGGTTTTACATTCGTGTTTTCGAGTTCTAAAACATTTTTAATAAATTATCCTTTCAGTTTGTAGTCTGCCATTTATGTCAACCTGCGAATTTCTCATTGCCTAGCGCTTCGTCTCATTGGTCTTAGGAACTTACAATCCGCTCCTGCTCTTGTTACTTTTATTTGCCATTTCGTTTTACTTGTTATCGATTTGCTTAGCTACATTTGAACCTAAAATCTGTTGTGTATTATTCTTAAGTCCTTGTGGATCCAACACCTAAGTACTACAATTATCTCTTAATTTGAATGAGTAGCTCTAAGGATAATTTGAGCATATCAAATTTTGCCGCCGTTGCCCGGGACTTAGTTATTACCTTCAGATTTTTAGTTTTACAATTTTGACTAAGCTTTCAATTTCTGTTCGCTAACTTTCTGTTACTTCTCCGCTGTCTGTTTCAAGTGTATGCATAATCGCAATACCAGAAGCAACAAAGACAAGGAGCTTGTGACTTTAGGCATCGCCGAACTCGCCAAGTTGGAAAGAACCATCAGAAAAGCTACAAAACAAACTAAGATGGTTGGACCAATTGTTTTGAGGACAGATGTTGAGGGTCATTTAGTTGACAGAGAAGGTAACAGAAGGAATGAGGAAGGGCAGAAGATAGATGAGAATGGAGCTATGATTGAGGAACAAGTTGTGCCACCAGTTGTGCAAAATGTGCAACAACAAGCTGCTGGAAATGCTGCTGGGCGTTAAAAACAGAGGACCCTTGGAGATTACAACAGGTCTGGTCAGTTCTATGCAAATAGAGCTGCAATCCGCCCTCCTGCCTTTCAGAGAAATGACTTCGAACTCAAGCCTGCCTACTACCAGCTTGTGGGTCATCATCATTTCCATGGGCTTCCACATGAGCATCCTATGGACCACATAGAGAGGTTTGAGGATATAGCTACAAGTGTTAAAGCCAATGGAGTCAGCAATGATTTCCTATTCTGCAAGCTATTTTCCTACTCTTTGGGAGGAGATGCAGCTCATTGGCTGAAACAATTAGAGTCTGGCTCTTTGACTACTTGGAAGGACACCAAGAACACTTTTCTCAACAACTTTTATGACGATGCAAGATCAAAAGAGTTGATGCCAAAAATTGATTCCTTCTCCCAAGGTCCTACTGAAGCTTTCAAGACAGCATGGTTGAGATTCAAGTTATATCAAATAGACTGCTCACATCATAGTTACAATGAAGTGCAACTGTTGGGCATCTTCTTTAGAGGTATTGATTGGAGGTACCAGATGGCTTTGGATGCTGCAAGCAATGGGAATTTCAACACTAGAGTCCCAGCTGACGCCATCACATTGATAGAGAATCTGGCTTCCAGCAACAGTACAAAGAATGCTGATTTTGAGAGGCAGAAATCGGTTTGCTGCTGAGATGAAAGCTAAGCTAGACTCTGTTCATAATATTTTGGTGGGTAAGAAGTCTATTCAG